TATAAGTTTTAGTTCACATCAAGGAACATTATAAGATGCAACAAACTCTTAGGTAGAAAAATCTGCAAATAACTATCTGCCAGTCTAGCAGCCACAAGTGCTGTGGATTTGACATATGTTATATAACCAGCATTGCAGAGAAGCGTTGAAGCTAACTAATCATTGCTGGTTTTTAAAATATATTAAATAGGGGTTTTACGTAGAAAAGGTGTAAAACCACAATCAAATAAAATAGCAAAGAGAAAAGAGACACCCAGACTGCAGATGTTTGCTAGAAATGAACATAGCAGACCTTAAAAGAGGCCCATAATATGCTAGAAACTTATCTAATGCATTTGTTATTGACGAAAGCTATAAAAGTCACCTATAAAGCAAATGCACATAAAGTATCAAGTACAGCAAACTGCAATGGAAATCTGACCATGAAATAAAACTTTAAAATGTTCTAAATACATCCAGAAGGAAAAGGCAGAGATCACAGTGCATGGATCAAAAGGTTTTAATATCTACATGAATTAGGGAAATGATTCATCATAATTAACAACTCCAACCACAGGTGTCTCAAATGGAGTATGAGATAAAGTTCCTATTTCAACCATCTTAATGGTTTTTCAGAACAGTTTGCTAAATATTTAAATCAAATAACTGTCAACCTCAGGGTTACCTGCAAAATGTTAAAGTCATTACCTGGGGTCACCCAGAACCATATGGTATTATTTCTCTTCACAGAAACAATGACAATATTTTTAAGAGTGGATGTTCTTACTACCTTTTATAATTTCATTCAAAGAATGACATTTTAATGAAAATAAAAATTATTTTATGTTCTCTATTCACCAGTTCCAAACAGTTTATGCAAGCCTTAGCCCACTCACATGCACTTTTCACACAAATATTTCTTAAAAATCTGCTTATCTTATGAAGCTCAGAAAAAAGAGTTAACAGTGAATCATTCCTTTCCAAATGCAGCTAGGCATGCACAGCTCTCTTCATTCAAGCCATGAAATTTTCCTGAGTGACCAAATCACTTTCTATCTACCAAACTGTCTACCTTCATTCCGTTACTGTCTGATACTAGAGTTCAGATATAGTTGAATGCATATCATCTACCAGTACTTAAAGGAAACTAGCAAAATATTAATCATTGTAGAATAAGTAATAACTACTTCAGTTAGAAAAATGCTTTGCAGTATGCTGTCAGTACTGTTACCTGTGTCGGCATACTTCTTAAACATTTTGGACAAAGTTAAGGAATGCACGTTTGTAACATAAACCTTCTGAAATACTTCAGTACCATTGATTGCAGGGTTGCTTTGCTGGTTTCTCGCCCTCCTAATCAAGAGACAGTAGTAAAGGGTGAAGTGTCCAGTTACTCCTTCTATCAAAGAGACATCCAGACAGCTTTGCTCTATTACTTCTCTATCTGCTTAAACATTCAAGGTACTCATATCCCTATACATTCACACTGAACACTTCAACCTCTCTGAATATCTACTGACTATCTAAAATATCTCACAACATCTGTAACAAGAGTTCCAGAGAAAAAGTGACTTTCCTTACTTTTGAAGACATGGTCCTTTTGAAGAAGTGATCCAACACTACAGAGAGTAAGGGGAAGTGTAACTATTTCCATGAAAGAGCAGAACTGTTCTCCATGACTTCAAACACCAGTGCCTTGTGGAGTCTTCAGTAACCATTAGTGACAGAAGTCAGAAAGACTTGGTTTCACCTGTATCTAACCCAGAAAAGGTACCCTTTCTATTCAGATACAGACTTAGCCAAACTGATCTACACTTTTGTAACCCCATGCTTGGATCAATCCAATTTGTTCTTCCCTGTGCTGACCCAGATGCCACTCCATAACCTACAGATGGTTCATCGTACTGTATCCCATCTGTTAAATAGAACACAGTAATGAGAATATATCACACCAACGTTCCTCACTTCCCTTTGGTTTTCATTCTAATACTGAACGCAGCTGAAGGTCCTAGTTCTTTCAGTAGTCCACGACTAAATCATCTCAGAGAAGACGTCTTCTTTCTGCTTCTTGCAGAAGATGGATGCAACAGAGCTGTTATGCCCAAAAGGTGTTAGATTCAAACTTGAATGTACAGGACAGATATCTCCTGGCTTCAGCACTCACTTCTACCACATACCGGGTTTTGCTACGTTTATGATGAAAGATTCATGTCTTCCTGTAGGTAGTTTAACTACCAATGAAATAACCACAGAACTACATTCCTAAATGAAAAATTATACCATGTTGTACAAAGCTGGAAGGAGAAACAGTTCTGTTTTGAAGGACGCATTAAGGTTTGCATGTTCTACTTCATCACTATAGCATATACAGCAGATATAGTAAAAAAAAATTCCTATAAATCTGAACTAATAACACAGCAGTGTTAAAAATATCAATGTATAAAGAAAAATAATTATATGATATTGAAAGTTGGGATTCCTTAAGGCATATAATTACATTAAATTATTGCAAGTTTGCCACTTAAATAGGAGTTGTGTATAGGTGGTCAGTATCTGGGAAAAAAAGTACTGTCCTCTGAAAACTCAGTGCAGTGCAAGAGAAATTTTAGTTATGTTACTAAACAGAAAAAAATAAACCCCAACTTGGCCTTTAAGGTGATGTTTTTCTGAAAACACACTTTTATGCAGAACGATGGTCCTGTTTGTCAGGAAAAGATGGATGACAGCAAAACCATTTCTGAGTGAAATCTTGTCTGTCTTGAACTCAGTAGATTTTTTAGCATTGAACTCCATTAAGCAAGAATGTAACCCCTGAATTTTAGAAGAGAGAAATTTTCATGCATTATTTAATCTAATTGGTATTTGCAGCTCTTTGTTTTCTTCTCGTTTATTCCATTCTCTAGTTTTGTGAACCACAACTTGCAGAAGAAGAAAAGGCTAACAAATACTCTAGAACCAATCAATGTTACGAAACTAATAATAATACAATATGAGCATGTAAGCTTATGTAGTGCCTTTCATGTAGAAGTATCCCAAGGCACTTTGTAACAGAAACTCAGAAAGGAGTGCAAAAGTGCTTTGTCAGATAGGGTAAGCCAGGGGAAAAGGGGAAATTAATTAAGCATGGATTTAAATTTCTCAGCCAACATAGCATTTAGAACCTTGGTCAGAAAAGACAGTGGTTTCAATATCTGTATCCAGGGAACACAACAGACTATTTCAGTCTTTAATTCCTGAGGAATGTTCAGTAGTTTTTCCATAATAATATGTGGATGAGTAATAGGAGTGCAGTTTGTAGGCTACGTTTCCAAAAGGCAGCCCCTGCCTCTCTTCCTCTAGTTTTTCATAAACAAATAGATTCATAAAAGGTGATCACCTGACTTGTATGCCAGTAAAGCCACTTGACTGCAGAGATACCAGGTATGGAATTTGGTACTGTAGAAATTACAAACACCAAGTTAAGGAGTGGGCAATGGCTTCGTTGTCTGTTTAGATCGCTGTTTTAAACCAATGCATGTTTCTTTATGGAAGTACTCCACACCTCTGACAGAGGGAGTAATCTGTTGCACAGTAGTTCCTAAGATAGCATGTATTTAACAGGGAAAAGCAAAATTGCTTGCAAAAAGCTATAATAATTGATAATGCATAAATTACAGCTTCCCTGATGTTGCAGAAACTTGCACATCCTCTATTTTTCAAAAATTTTTCTCTTAGGAACACATGGACCATCCTCATTTTTGGATGACTGCCTCTTCGGATTAATGCATCCTTCTGGTGGATGAATTAGGGACGCACAGAGGAAAAAGGAGAAGCACTAAATCTCTGGAAACTGAAGCTATACAGAAAAATGAGGTTCACAGTAGAGCTGGATGAGTGACACCAGGAACAATTTATCTAAGAAGTTAGCCTCCACTTCTGTTCATGGAATATCTAGAGGAAGCTTATAATTTCCAAAGTTTTATTATAAAATGAAAGTTTGAAATATTGTATGTATATAAGTATTGTATTATATTAATAGAAAGTGGCATTTTAATTGATCAAATAAATCACATGATGATGTTTCTGTTCCCCAGATGGATGAACCCACAAGCACATACTCCAGATGCCTGCTGCGCTTAAGAAAGGAGCTCAGTAGCATGTGATGAAAAGTGAGTGTAGGCAAAATAAATTAAGAGTTTTCGCAAAAAAAGTTGTCTGTTGTCCATTGCAATTTTCATTGATAACAATTTGCAAATACCTGCATATATTTATCTTGGGGCACATGAAGAGTGAACTTTCCCAGAGAAAGCTTGAATTTGATGGTATGTATTATTTTCTGAAGATTTGGTACTGAATAACGTACCAGTCTTTCCAGAGTTTGTTCAAAGCTTTCAGACTAATTAGGAGTTGATACACACATTAGGAAGATTAAAGGAGCAATGTTAAAATTTTGTTAGATTATTTGTGATCTGAAATATCCTTGTAAAAATTATGGTTTTGAATGGACTGCCATGCTTTATGCAAATTTGAAAAGTGTGTACTCTCTGCTACTTCAATAAAATATATAACCTCAACAAGCACTTGAGGAAGAATGAGCCATTAGTGCATTTAAAAATCACAGTAGTATACAGAGACTACCAGTTTTATAAAAATTGTCTAACAAAACTTTATAAAGGCTAATATCTCTTAGAATGTATGGATGCTAAAATACTACAATATTTATTACAGGGAAAAGAAGACTGAAGACTAATCAGAAACTATACTCTTTTTACACAGGCTGAAGATAAAGACAGCATATCACAGTCCTCCCCACTTTGTATTACTTTTAATTATACTTGCATAATTAATGCTAACATTTTGCTTTTCTTTTTAGTATATTTAAAAAGTTAAGCTGCATCAAGTACTCTTTGTCAGATCTATGCTAAATATCGACATAGTACATCATTTGCTGGATTCTCTATTTTCTAGCAATACCTTTAGTATGAATTTATCAATGTAATGACAAAATTAAACTGAAAAAAATAAACAATGTGTGTTCTTACCTGAGCTCTTGAGCTATAGAGTCCACTTGAACTGTTAATAAAAGCAGGAAAGAATGAATTAGTTTACACTTCCAGCCTTGTGCTTTCTGCAACCTTGCACCTGTCTATCTGTGATGTCAAAGGAGCAGCTATCAAAACACAGGTGATTATTGCATGCTAACCACAGGACTGTAGCTACTAGTTGAAAATGTTAACTGAACATAAAATTCTTACAGTTATTCCAGGATGCATAAAACCTAGAGAATGAAGTTCAGTGGAACAAGAAAAATAAGTAAAAATAAAAGAGAAAGCAGTAGTTTTTGTTGCAAATAGAATGACAAACCTCTGCTTTTTTCTGAATTTTAAATCGATTTGGGAATGACAAAGGCTGGTGTTTACAAATACCTGCCCACACAAGGATACATAACACATTGTCAAAGCCAACAGGTGGTTCTAAGTTGGTGGTTCTAAGGTTCTAAGTTGCACAGGCAACTTTTGTTGTTTCCACTTCTGGGAAAATGTTCCTGATCTATTAATTCCTGTCAATGTAAGTGCACGTGTATAAAAAATATAGTAAAAGAAAATCTCTAAGTTTTAAAAATATGTTATCTTTTTGAGTGAAAATGGTATGAATCCCCTCTTAAATGCAATTAATGTCTGCTAAGCCAGCCAGACTGTTTTAACTCACAGTCCTGACCAACAGAGAAGACACGCTCTAATGCTGAGGTGTGAATAACTTCCCTATTCAACAACTTTGGTCGAGTCCTCTGTTCTGGTACTTTTGAAGTACATAAGAGTTTTACACTAATTTCCAGAACATTACTGAGGGATTGGTCAAAATTTGATATCACATTTTTCATTCTGACCACAACTTGAAGCTGGAGGCACAACAGCTGCGACCCAGAACTACTGAGTTGGGACAATGAAACCAACCAGTCTGTTTTGCACAGTCCTGAGAGCGCACATCTCCCACTAAAATGATAGCAAAGGATGGGTGCTTAGCACCTCTGAAAATGGTCATAAGCAAAAATACTCACAGGGACGGCAAAACTTTGACATTTATTTTTACGTATTTCCATTTTTCACTCATTATTAAAATAAAAAGTTATTTTCCTGGAAGGACTGTATTGCTATTCAAACATGTTTTCCAGATGTTGAGACGATTAAGGGCCTGTTTATCTCTCGGTGCTGCATTTCCATCCGTTTCTTACAAAAAGAGAAGAATAGCTGGAAAACACAACGATGTCATAACTTTGCAAATTGAAACACAAGCACCAGGACTTAAAAAAATCAAAGGGTTCTCTGCCACATACACCTGAAACTTTTGATTAAAGTAAATTTACTTCTGGACAATTTAGGCAGCTAATTTAAATATAATTTACGGCATTAGGCAGAAAAACATTCTGTTGGCTGAGACAAAGTTTTGTACATTATTTTGAAAGCATCCATCCAAAGTTATCTAGATCTACTCCCTATGGAAAATCTTTGCACAATAAAGAGATTAAAATTCATTTTCTTTGAGAAATAGCTCAAAGAAAACAGCATACAGTAGATTTTTTTTCTGCTTTTCTTTAAACCATAGCTAATAACATCATGCCTCTTAATGCCAGCAGCCTGTGTCCTGCCTTGATTTAAAAAAGCAGCCCTAAGGAAGCTACACACTCTCTTACTGCACATCAGGGACTGTGCACAGGAACTATCGTATTTCATGGTATGCTGGACACAGGGTCGTGGATCGTGCTTGCTAACTCACCCTTGATCCCTTTTGAGCGTGTGCGCAGCTTTTTATTTTCCCCATCTGCATCCATCTGTAATATTAACACAAAGTCTTTAATTCATTCCTTTTACCATTGAGAGAAAAAAAAAAAAAAAGTCTCCAATGCTTTTTCACATTTCCAAAGGCTAGACAGTAATAGAAAGAAGAATAATCATGCCTTATTAATCTTGTCAAAGAGATAAAAAGCCATCTGTGAATATCTGGTAAATACCTAGGAGGTACCTTTAATGATACAGATTTGTTTAATAAAGTGATGGTTATGAGTGACTCTGTAAGGTTTAATGACGAAGTCCACAGGTGTTAGCTGAAGGCACAGGCTAGAAACAGCAATGTTCTGTGACTGCTTCTTTCAGCATCCACCTCCTGGAAGAAGAGGTCCCAGACAGCCACAGTGCCTACAAACGCTCTCCGTTGTAACAGCTGTGTTAGAACCTGCATTTCCGATAGCTTCATCCTTAAAAAGTGAAGCCCTCTTGCTTGAATGTGCACACTTGCCCATGTACAGCTTTGAAATACTTCACCTCTCAATCAACTGCTTCTTACAGAAGTTTTGGTTAAAGAGACAATTACAGATATGTATGAGGTTTTTTGGGAGAACATAGTATCCAGGTTTGTTTTCATATGAGGAAACCCCAAATAGCCAAAAAAATCCAACCCCCTATAAATTCATCTGTTGCCTAAGATTTCTAACTGAAATAAGTGAGACCTTTCAAGATCAGCTGTTCTCATGACACTTTTGGTTACCTCTAAACCAGCACTGGAAGTATGCACCTTCTGGTCTTGGATCTGGCCCAGACCCGTAATTGTAGGGGCAGGTTTTCAATCCACGGATTTGACTACAAACCCCTGAAATTCAAAGGGATTAAGGTTTCACGTTGTGGTGTGGAGACCTGTAGTGACATACGGTAGATCACACGGCAGTGTAATTTTGACCATGTCCAGGGTAGAAAACTCCTTTCTAAAAGTAACTCTCATTTCTATGTAAAGAAGACCCTTATGGGGAATTTTTATCTAGGCAAAATATCACGTACTCTGCAATTCTTCTTCAGTCTATGGTAGCCTCTTACTATCTATGCTTTGAATCTCAGTTTCCCTATTTGTAAAATAGTGATGATCAAACATGCTGTAGACAAAGCAACTCCGGTGTGCTTCTGCAGATCATTATGCAGGAATAAATGCAGACACCAACATCTGATTTATAGAATGTGCTGGGCAACAGGTAAGTACATTCTATGGGTGACAGAAGTTGCCTATGCCTTGCATCTTTCCCTGCAAAAGGTTGCAAGATAAAAACCCATGTCAACAGAAGATCCTGCATATTGTTTCACTCGTCCTTTCTGAGGATCAGCAGAACTGATTTGACTGACTAAGGGAAGATACAAGAAGCCTTTTGCCATTTATAGAGTTTGAATATCTGAGGATGCTTTATTTTTAGCTTTACATGACTCAGATAACTGAGATGCTTTGAAGGTCTTATCTGAAAGAACATTGCAGAATATGACAAGATTGACCTGAGAAAGAAAAAGAGTAAAGTCAGCCTTTCTAGGGAAGAAAAAGTATTTATCTAATTTTTTTTTCCTGTTTATTGTTGTATATCGTTACACATTATATACACCTACTGGAATCAAAATACCTATTTTCAGGAGACAACACAAGCATTCAAAAAGAATATTCATGTACCTGAAGAAGTGTAATTCTAGAACACAGGTTAGTGATATCTGAAATGAAAGTCTAAATTGATTGAAATGCATCTCCAAGCCAGATGATGATATATTTTCTCTGTTTAAATTTACATCTGATGTTGATTATTAGCAGGGAAGGAACATAAGTGGCTTGTGTTTACGTAGTGGGGCTGATGGCAGCCTTTACTTGTTACTGTCCTTAAAACCTGGAGAATGAGTTTTTGCAATGTGACTGTAATGGTAATGGGAAACATGGCTCTGTTCTCTGATGCTGAGTTGTGATTGAAGGCACTGCCCTGCCATAGACTTATAATAGGGGAGCAGGTGTGGCAATGATGGACTTTAATTTCCTTTAATAAACCTTTTATGTGCCACACTTTTACTGCCATTCTATGCTCTCCAAGGTCCTGCACATAATAGGTTCATTACTTTTGATTACTATAGTCTATTGAGACAAACAACTCCAGAACACACTATATATTATGTTCAGTTAAACCAATATAGACTATTTATCCACTGTGCATTATTTCACCTGCAACTCTACAGACAAAATTAACAACAGCTCCTGTAAGCTAAAACTATTAAAACCACTGGTACTCCTTTGTCATTATTTCATCATAAATACCACACCAATCACAGTGCTGCTCTTTTAATTATGAAACGAAAAGTGTCCACTGCTTCTACTGAACAGCAGTCACTTTGGTCTAAATAGAACGTTGCGTGGTAATGAATATTTAAAAACTGCACAATGAGTGAAAACCAACAAGAAAATCAATGCAGGTGATTTTTCTATTGATTTTTTTTCCTTGTAAAAATTTGAAACTATGAAAGATGCTTAATCAACTCAAATCTAAAATTTATAGAACTATTAAGCCTGGTGTATATGACATATTAAAATAACCATCAGGTCAGTGTTGCATAAAAAACCCTCAACTTACAAGAAGTCCCATGCATTAACTTGAAAATGATACAAAAGTAACTCAATAAAACTGTGAAATCTTTGAAGCCCTCTCTTGCTCAAAATTTAAATGTAATAACTTTGGCTTTGATAGTTCTTTCAGAGACTGCCTGATACTGATAAAAAGTGAACAAAGTTTCTCACTTCTGATTTTTATCTACACGAAATTACTGCCACAGATGGTCAGCAAGAAGGATTCAAACTTTTAAATCACCCATGGAACAATAAAAGGATTAAACTCTAAGTGAGAAGTGTCATTCAAAGTTTTTAGAGGTGATTGTTGTCAAGGTGTCATATCTTGTTACTGCTATGTACTGTAACGATGGGATGGATTCTGGAAGGTACTTCATGATCCCAAATCCAGGGATAGTCAGCCCTCCCTCGCAGTACATGCATTGTCTGGAGACAAGGAGCCATAAGGGATAAATGCAATGGTTGTGTCTGCACAAAATCCTCACATAATGTCTTACTACTAATTTTTTAGCGATCAGGACCATCAGGATAGCATCTAAGCACTTGCCAGGAAAATTTTTATTGCAGTCCCATATTTTTTAAATGGCAAGATTCACAAAAATAATGACAAGTGAATGGTGGAATTCATATCACTTTATCTTTGTGTTTTAGACCGAGATTCTCTGATTTGATGGGTTTTAAACCCATCTAAACAATCTCTTCTCAAAGTTAGCTGAAGCTAGCTCATGGATTCAAAATAGACTCTCATAGCGAGAGATACAGCCAGAAACACAGCGACGGAGCAGGAGCAGCTATGTAGTCTGAAATCACTAGGCAAGCAGGCTAAGAAATAAATGCCTGCTTTTGAGTTGCTTTATTTATGTAATATTTCTGTTTGACTTCAGGAATTTCAATATGATCCTCCCTCCGCCTTCCCTTCAATGTTGGTTGAGACTTAAAGGTAAGTCAATAACTAGATCCTAGAAAACTGACTGGACTCATCGAAGATACTACAAATTCTGCTTGGCTGAAACTGGAATAAGTCGCTACGTGACCGCTACAGGGTATTCACATTTCTTCAGATGAATATACCAGTGGAAATGCAGCAATTACACTTTCTGAGTAAACTATCTCAGAGTTCCTGGCTGCAGAAACCAAATGTTATTTCTTCTGCTTGTACCATCCCACTGCAGTCAGGGGACTGGAGAGCAGCACCTGGAAATACTTCCCGGAGTGAGAGAATCAGGATTTGGCTCTGAGTGTGGGTTTTTGTGTGCCTGGAGTCTATCTGTGCACGTGTGCAATGCACTGATGTTATAACAGGATCCAAGAATCTGACTAACAGCTGAAAACAGGACATGTGCAATAAATGACAATAATAGTAATAATAATAATAATGACAACAACAATTTCAGTTTACTTGCACATTTTAATTCTGAATTTCAGAAATCAAATAGCTAGTACTATCTTGGTAAGACAGTTTCACAGCACATTGCTGTGAAATAAACTATTAACTTGGGAAAGCCAACGTAGCTGACACAGGTAAAAGTGAAATGCACCTCCTGGAAAGAGCTAATGTAGGAGCTGTGCACTAATTTCTATTGTAATCTTTGCACAAGCATGACTTTTCTGGAGTGGGTTTCACACTCCTGGGGCGGCAGTATGTTTATTGTTGTGTAAGTAGCTAGAGGAAAAGAAATCACCCCTTTACCCAGAGGTAAGAAGTGCAAAAGCTGATATTTCATTGTGATTTTCCAACTGAAAGTTACATCTGATTTTCAACATGAAACTTGGCAAACAACTTCTCTAGGACAAACCTTAACTGATTTTGAGAGGTCTGAAAAAAGAGTGGCTTTTCTCTACAATTTTCAATTTGTAAACTACTTAAGTTTGTATAGAGGCAACAGCTACATTTGTCATTAGACTAATGAATTTAACCAGAAAACAAAACAACAAAACAACAAAACCCCTCAATGATTTTTAAGGTGCACAAATCCATCCTCAAGTCTCAAACACAAGCCACAGACTTCAAAGTTTCTCAGTGCATTTGGTACTCATATTTTAATGTTTCTTTTCAGTAACTCATCGAAGAAGGGAATATTTTCAGAAAGAAAAAAAGTTTTTAAAAAAACAAATAGGAAACCAAGATTTCCTACAGTCTGCCCAGAAGTATGGAGCACTGTTTGGCTGGGTGTCTGTATATCTGTGTTAACTGCAACTTTCTGACGCTCTATGATAGCTTTTCTTAATATGAAGTATGGATAGCAGACTGACGGTGAGAAATACTGGGCACTAAAAAAATCCAAAATCCAAAGACAAAATTTTTAGGAACATTTCTTGAACATTTGAACATTTCTTCTTCTTCTCTCCCTCTCTCTCTCTCTTTTTTTTTTTTTTTTTTTTAATAACATATTGATGGCCAGGAAGCAGAAAAAATATTTTTTAAAGTAAGTATTCTTAAACACTGAAAACATGCCTTGTTTTGTGATTTTGATTATTCTTAACCAAGGAGTGATCTCATCTTTGTTTTTGAAACTTTTGCTTTCGTTTACAGAATTCTATTCCTGATTTCTCTAGGAGAAAGTTGAATAACATGGAGATAATTTGTTCAGATGTATTAATTTCCAAGGAATTCAAATAAATCAGTACATCTACTGAACGCAAACTTCAAAGCATATTTACAACACATAGAAATCATCAACAATTTTTCATTATACCATGGGGTTGAATGGTATACAAATTTTTCAGAAGAAGATGTTTTCAATACTGAAGTCACTACTTGAAAATACGCAGCTACAAAATAAACCTTAAATCAGAAGCAAGCTTGAATAGCTTTGTAATGAGGATGATTTATTTGGATTTTCCCTTCTGATTTCTGAGTTGTCACTGCTGTTGTATTCTTCACCCATGCAACTTTGCACAACTGGCGGTGCTGAATATAAACGAAAGCCATATGTTTATGTCCTTTTGCCAAACGACTACAGCAAATAGTTCTATTATTCCCTTAGGTAACCAACGTTTGCCAAGTATTTCTATTAGTCTGCTTCACCAAGGCTTCAGAGGGCAGAGTCACAGCTTTATGAAATTAAGGGGCAACTGCTAGCTTTTTAAATTTAGAGCAAAATTATATAGTCTACCGTGCTGAAATGTAGCTCACCACAAGCTGATGTGTGATCTTACTTTCAGGAGGTTTTTTGCCTGGATTTTTATTTTTGATGTAGTTCAATGTCTTGTCACTATTTCCTGGGCTATTATGTACTAAATATATTTTTTTAGAAGAGAGAAAGCATTAATATTCAAAAAGAGAAAAATGCTTTGACACCTTGAGATCTTTTACAAATGCACCAAAGTTTTTATCTCACCCAAGTGCTATATAGTTAAAAAAACTCAATAAGCATTATCTAAAAAAAAAAAACAACAAAAAAAAACCTAACCAAAAACAAACAACAAAAAACCCCAAACAACTTACCCACAAGTAAGCTATCCCTCACAAATTAAATTTAAGCAGTGGATTACAACTATCATATTCAAAGATAGCTGTGTTCCTGTCAGTATGTAATGCTGAGTGTAGTACTGAAACTCAAAACCTAGAATTTCTAGGCATGTAGAAAAATTTTTATCTTTTCCAATAGTTCAATATTGTTATACCTGACTGTTGAAGGCTGCTGTTCTTAAAACAGCAGATGCTATACGAGACAAATAGCAATAGTGCATGAGACACTACACACGAAACCACACAGCATTCTAGTACTAATATAGAAAACATTTTGATGCAAATTTATTTTTGTAGATAAATTATCCCACCTTTGCGCGTTTCCAGGTGAAAATATGTGCAGATTCCAAAGGACCAAATTTGTCACTCAGCCCAGGATGCTTTTTCTCATTTAATAGATAATCCTGAAATTCATACTCTGAAAAAAAACCAAAAACAAAACACAAAAGAAGAAAACCAAAAGCCAGCTATGCTAGATAAAACGTAGATGAAACAGGACACTGTTTAAATCAAATGGACAAATAATCCAGGTGCATTGTTTTGTTGTGCGGTTTTTCAAAGATGTGATATAGAAGCATCAGGGATGTCTCTAAGAGGTAGAAAGAGCAGTAATTTTTCTTTTGTTATGGTACTTTCTTCATATTGTTGATGCCCTCTCAGATAGCTTATGAAATAGATTTTCTCTGAGAAAAAAATTTCTTCTTACACAGACAAAAATCCACAGTTTCTATACATAGAAATCCTTACTCAAAAGTTTTTATTGCGTCAGAACCTGTTTGACTGAGTAGGATGGTGCAGTACATGATGTGAAATAAATGAAAAGCACTCTAAAATATTTTAATAATGGCAGAAAAAGCCTCAGTTTTATTTTTTTCTGATTTTGCATATCAGAGTTTAAAGTTTGGCAGACCGATACATATGTTCTCACAAGTAAACTGAAGGAAATCCTTGACATTTCTCTGTGCTCAAGTTTCATTCCTTTCTGTGGGGAAACTCCCACTAAATCAACAGTAACAGCAAGGGAAGAAAAGCTGCAGAAGTTTATAACTGAGTGTACAATATTGAGGGCCGTGTATTTAGAAATAGCGAATACTCAAACCCTTTGAACATTTAAAGTTGTAGGCACTTGCAATCTGGGAAAATGTGGTCATGAGCAGTTGTTATGGGAAGGCTCTATTTTAGTATCACTCCTTCCAGTAGCGACCAAAATACAAAAATTTTACTATCACTTCCAATTTCGAGGACTTTTTAAAATGGTGTCCAGCGTATTTAGTGAAATAGGTCTATTCATTCAAGGTGTTCCAATTATGACAAAGTCTGCAGATAAACTTTTGGAACCCAAAGGTGAAACTTTAACTGCTAATTGAATTATACCTGACGGAGTTTTGTCAGTACAATTTACAATGCTACATGTCTGAAGTTGGAAAGGCTCATTCTAACCAGATTTTCAGGGAAGCTAGAGTTTATTGAGTGACTAATTTCTGCTTAAGTCCCAATAGATAGAATATGAGTTGCATCCCATCAATAACTTTTAATTAAAATAAGCTTTTATCAAATAACAAAACAGCCAACAGCCGCAAGATGATAAAGAAGGGAGAAAACCCAGAGCAAAACAGCCCAATACTGAAAAGATTTTTAAAGCAATTTTCTAGCCAATATGTTGCTGGAAAAAGATATTGTTTATCCTC